ACGTCGAAAAACGGCTTGAAACTGTAAAAAAATTAGTTTTCGAGGCTGCGGACGCCCGCGGTGTCTCGACAATGGCCGAGACACCTGTGGGTGTCTCGCCGAGGCCTGGAATATTGTTTCGCGCGTTTTGTCCGTTTTCGTCATATCTTTACAGTCTGAACTCGGAATTACGCGATTCAAAGTGCGTAAGAAAGCCGACGAGGAGATCTACAAGCTCCTATAGTTGGATCATATGTGGAGCAGACGGGATATGAAGGGTGCTTCATATTTTTATCACGAAGCGTGGCTTCCGATCAGTTCATATCCTCGTTATTCTGCAGTTCCGTTGCTTCACACGGTTTGTCGACTTACTTCATACGTTTATCGACATCAATTAAGCTTCTGTGACCCGGATAGTGACGTTCATCATCTTCTCTCTGTCTCAAGCCACGTACGGGAATCCGTGGGTAATTTTTGATGCCTACAGATACCAGGAACTGTAGATCTGACGAGCTCCTCTTCTTTATGCTGACAAACTCGATCCGATCTCCTCCTCTCTTCTGAAATTCGTGCTCCTTCAGTCTTCAATTCAGCAGGGCTTCGCCGACGCTCGAGAATTTCAGATCTTAAAAAATGAAGACCCTGAGGCTGTATTTATAGGCTTCAGGAGCCCTGTTTTCGGATAAGAATGAATGATTTGCTCTTATCCTCAGTTGTAACCACTTTATCACGTTCTAGGATTGGTTCAGATCAGTTGGAACAAATCCAGGTGGTTAACATTGAAAAACGGCTTGAAACTGTAAAAAATCAGTTTTCTGGGCTACGGACGCCCGCGGTGTCTCGGCAGTGGTCGAGACACCTGTGGGTGTCTCGCCGAGGCCTGGAATATTATTTCGCACGTTCTATCCGTTTCCATCGTATCTTTGTCATCCAAACTGTCTCGGCCATGGCCGAGACACCTCTGGGTGTCTCACCGAGGACTGGAGCATTGTTTCGCGTGTTTTGTCCGTTTTCGTCGTATCTTTACCATCCGAACTCGGAATTACGTGATTCAAAGTGCGTAGGAAAGCCGATGAGGAGATCTACAAGCTCCTATAGTTGGATCATATGTGGAGCAGACGGGATATGAAAGGTGCTTCGTCTTTTTATTAGCGAAGCGTGGCTCCCAATCAGTTCATATCCTCGTTATTCTGCAGTTCCGTTGCTTCACACAGTTTGTCAACTTATTTCATGCGTTTATCGACATCAATTAAGCTTCTGTGACCTGGATAGTGACGTTCATCGTCTTCTCTCTGTCTCAAGCCGCGTGCGGAAATCCGTGGGCAATTTTTAACACCTACATTGACTTCTTAAATCCACGGCCTAGAAGAAATACATTTTAACCATCTACAGAGCTAATTGAAAAGAGAAGAGGGACAAATACTTTGTTTGCTTTTTTTCTTATGTTACATATTTTTCCACAAATAGTGTTGCACAAGAAGAACCAACACCACTTCTTCTCCGATTGCAGAGAATTCTAAAAATGATATGAACCATTGATTGCTAATTTTAAAAATATCACCATTTTTAGGATTCGTTATCTCAATTGCTCCATAAGAGGAAACTCATTTAATAATAAACAGGCTAGTCCATTGTGGTCTCAATTTTTCGGGAAAAGATGAAGTTTTGAGTTATAAAGCAGTGCTTTTTACCTCAGTGTAAAAAAAATTGTATTATCTTTGTTTTCTCTTTATAAAATTTTAAATTAGTATATGCATCTTTTATAATCTCTTCTAATTCATTTATTTAGAGCATTCCTATTTTCCTACGGAGTCTAAATTGACATTAAGTTGCTTGATTACCCACATTGTTCAGTATTCGACTTCAACCGGTAAGTGATACGCCTTTTCCACAATGATCCTGTACGAAGACATTCTCAAATTTGTCTTCAATGTGGTTCGATACACCGATAAAGGATCGCTCTATTTGATAGACTAATCTTTTCTATTCTGATTTACAGTTTTCTCTAAATTTTATTTGATCTATATATTTACGACTTCAACTTGTCCACTAATTTGGGGATGATAAGTAGTGGATAATTAATGAGTAATTGAGTATTTCTTCATTAAAACTTCAAGTGAACTATTATAAAAGTGTGTACTATTGTTATTAATTATCGCTCGTGGCACTCCAAACCGAGAGAAGATGTGATCTTTGAGAATTTTAATAACAACTTTATTGTCATTGGTTTTACATGTAACCGCTTCAGCCTATTTGGACATGTATTCAATCACCACTAGAATAAATAAATTTCCAAAAGAATTTAGAAATGGACTTATGAAATCTATTTCACACACATTGAAAAATTCAATCATAAGAATTGGTTGCAAGGGCATCATATTTCTCCTAGCGATTCTTGCAACAAACTGATAACAGTTACATGCAGAATTCAAATGCATCTTTGAACACGTTGCACCAATACAACCCACGCTGCAAGACTTTTTCGCGATGTTTATTAGACCAAAACAGCCCCCACAGGCCGGCACTTGACAAAACAAGAGAACACTCCTAATTTCTTCATTTAGGGGACACCTCCTAAAGATCTATAAGGATAATACTTAGATGTTTATTGGACCAAAACTGCCCCCACAGACCGGCACTTGACAAAACGAGAGAACACTCCTAATTTTTTCGTTTAGCATACACCTCCTAAAGATCTAATCAGCATAATAATTGGATAGATAGGGATCAACCAGTAGAAATATTTTATATGGGAGAGAAAATGAGATCTATCCTATTTTGACCAATGAGAATGGACCTTTTTCATAACCAGATAGTTCACAATACCTACAAACCATAGCTATGGACCGGACTTGTAAGAGTTGATCATCTGCAAAATGATCTTTGTCGAAATATTTGGTGTTGATGCATTAAGAAGCCTAAGCAAATGATTTTCTACAGGGTTATCTGCTTCTTTTTTGTTAAGAATTTGTAGATCAAACTCTTGAGGTAGGAGACTTTATCTAATGAGTCGTGCTTTAGCATCATTCTTAGTCAAAAGATACTTAAGTGTGGCATGATCAGTGTAAACCTTGATTAGAGAACAAATGAGATAGGTTCTAAATTTTTCTAAGGCAAAAACAACAACTAAGAACTATGCATTGTTTAGTGTCCTACTAACATAGTAGATCACATGAGGCTTGCACCTGACAAAATGAGAGAACACTCCTAATTTTTTTTCATTTCGTATACCTTCTAAAGATCTAGTTAGGACAATACTTAAACAGATAGGGATCATCCCAGTACAAATATTTCACTTAGGAGAGGAAACAAGATCTATCCTATTTAGACTAATGTGAAAGATTCTATTTCGTGACTAAATAGTTTACAATATCTGCAAACAATGGTACATATTGAACTTATAGGAGTTGTTCATTCGAGAAATGATCATTGATTGGAATATTTGGTGTTGGTGTATTAGGAAACCTAGACAAATGATCTACGACTGGCTTATCTGCTCCTCTCCTATTAAAGATTTGCAAATCAAACTCTTGGAGCAAGAGTATCCATCTAAGAGTCATGCTTTAGCATCTTTCTTGGCTAAAAGATTTAGTGCAGCGTGATAAGTGAAAACCTTGGTCAAAGATCCTATGAGATAGGACCTAAATTTTTCTAAGACAAAAACTACATCTAAAAACTCTTTTTTTGTGATAGAGTAATTTTACTGTGCATCTTTCAGTGTCTACCTGCATAGTAAATCACAAGCGGTTTCTCATTTATGCATCGTCCTAAAACAACATCAATTGTAAAGTCGGATGCATCACATTAACTCAAATGGTAGGGTCCAATATGATGTATGAATGATAAGAGTTGTGGTTAGGTCCTTCTTCAGATGATCAAATGCCTTAAGTCATTCAGGAAAGAAATTAAAGGATGTATCATTGACTAAAAGATTGGTCAATGACCTAGCAATTTTGCTAAACTCTTTTGAAGAAGCGTCTAAAAAAACTAGCATGATCAAAGAATGATCTGACATCCTTGATATTTGGGAGGAGAAATGTTAAAAATGAGATCTATCTTAGCTTCGTCAACTTCTATACCCTTTTTCAAACTACATATCCTAAGATAATTCCATATTTGATTGTGAAAGTTAGATTTTTCTCCTTACATAGGGTTAAGATAAGTTTAAGATGATGCAAACACTCAAAAAATGAGTCATCAAAAATTAAAAAATCATCTATAAACATTTCTAAGAATCGCTCAACCATATCAGAGAAGATACTAATCATGCACTGTCAGAAAGCAGTTGGGGCATTGCATAACCCAAAGGGCACGCGACAGTACGTAAAGGTTCCATATGGTCATGTAAAAGTAGTTTTCTCCTGATCTTCAGGAACAATGGGAATCTAATTGTAAAATGAATATCCATCTAAGAAATAGCAGAACTTGTGTCCTGCTAAACGTTCAATCATTTGGTCTATGAATGGAAGTGGGAAGTGATATTCCTGGGGCTAGGTTGTATTTCCTATAATCAATATAGACTCACCATTCGGTTTAGATTCAAATGGGAATCAACTCATCAGCCTCATTTTAGATCACGACGGTCCCAGAATTCTTAGAAACAACATAGATTGGACTTACCCAAGAACTATCTAAAATGGGATAAATGATCACATTATCAAGACATTTGGAAATGACTTTCCTAACTATTTCTTTCGTAACTAAGTTCAACCTTCGTTGGGATCCCTATTAGGTTTGACATTATCTATCAGATGAATTTTATGTTAAACAATGGTTGAAGTAATCACTTTGATAACAGCCATGATCCATCCGATGGTTTCATTATTTTCTCTCAAAATATCTAAGAGGGCTTCCTTTGACCGTTTGTCAGGTTAGAAGTAATCATCTAAAAGCTCTAAGATATCAATCTTTAAAATGGCCAAACATCAGGATATTTATCTATAAATAACCTTAATTATTATGTACCTCTGGTCTTATCATTGTTCAAATACTTAAGTGTCATCAATGCAAAGCCGGATCCATAACCATGAAACATCTACCAAGGATTAAATATAAACAAAAAAAATTCAAAAGAAAACATAAAATGTCCATCTCACTAAATGACATATACAGTTTCCCTAAACACAACAATTAGGAACACATGATGAAAGCAAATAATAATATCCATAGATGAATAATTTTCAAATTCTAGAAAATACCTCTTTCAAATAGTTTTGCTTTTCTCTCCCGGGCGAAAAAATAAAACCATGATCCAAAGTCGTAAATAGTCAGTACTAACCCTTCGTTTTAGGCCTCATGCACCTACAAAAGGGACCTTTTCTCTTCCCCTTGTCTTTTTTCTTGCCATAGATATACTCACTCAGAAGAATGCTAGATCTCCTATCAACACATCCAATTCTCTTCTCCTCCTCTTCTTCAACCTTGAGGAATACGTACTCAATCTTTTCAACCTCCAACTCCAAGTTGTCAATCTGTTCCAACCCTTTCCTTGCCTCCTCCGAAATTCGCCTCCTCTCCTTCTCCCAAATCACAGCATTCGAAGATTCAAAATCATCCTCAACCCTCTTCTTCAATTTCTCATAGACCTCAACTTGTTCTAGAATAGCAGCCTCAGTCTCTGCCACCTGGACTTTGAGATTATCATACTCCGATGATTTTGCATGTTTTTTCTTCCCTGTACTCTCAAGTTTGGTCTTGAGTTCTCGTAGGCTTCTTTGTGCAACCGAAAGCCTTCGAGCATCAGAATCAAGCTTCTGAATGAACTTCTTGTTCCACTGTCGAAGAGATGATTCGTTAACTCTTGTGGATACTTCGAGCTTATCTATACTAAATTCTTTCTCAGCAATAAGTTCAGATGAAGGATATTCGCTCTTTACTTCTTCAATGGCTTCAATGTCGTCTATTTCAGCAGTTTCCCATAGTTCAAGCATTTGATCATCGGATTCAGAATTCTCGCTCTTATTTGGCCTGTCAGATCTTGACACTTGGTCCAGCTGGATGTCTTTCATTTTCTGCCCATACTTCTCCTTAGAGATTTCATCTTTTAGTTTCAGCTCTTCAATCTCTTTCCTTGTAGCCTCTATTTTAGCTTTAGAATCCATCCTTTCTTGCTCTACGAGATTTTTGGTGTCTATTATCACATTTTGAAGTGCTTCTAGTTTTGCAATCAATTTCTGTAAATCTGTGATTTTCATAATTGTTCGGTTACTGCTTTTCTTTGTCTCAGAAGTTTCTGAAGCGACATCATCCTGAAAATAATTCACATCGTAAGTGAACTAAGAAATTAGGAAGCATGTGGTCAATTAAAGAATTAGGCAAAAGAAAGGGTAAATTACATAAAATATCTCAATGGTTTGTAGAAATGAGAAAATATCCCCCTTTGGTTTTAAAAGTGACTCTACCCTCTCCTCAGTTTTTAGATAAACAATCATCAAATTCTAGCAATCAAATTTCAAATGTAATAATCACATACATGTTTGTAAAGGCTTACAAGTAATTGTCCTGTATTACTATAGTTTTCTACATCCAAATTAACTTTGAAAATTGAAAACAGAGGAGATAAGAGCGTCACATCTACAACCTTTTGTATTTCTGGGAATCGTGGAAACCATGGAGGGATTTCCTGCATTTTACCCCAAAAGAAATTATGAAATAAATTAAAGAAATCCAGCTGGCAGGAGCAGACGATAGCTTATATGTAGCACAGATTTTAGTTCATTCGGAAATTAGAAATCTTCAAAAATATTCAAGCTGTGAAAGGATCTGGACTCCAGGTTTCTACTTTCTAATAAATTTTGTTTACATTCACCACACAAGAATGTGATAAGCTCGAAATGCTAAAACAGGACAAGATTGAAAACACACAACAAAAATTTCTGAGCTTAAGGTTTTTAAAATATTAAATATAGATAAAGACTAATTAAATTACTCAACAATTATGACCATGTATAAAAGAAAAGAGGATACCTGTTTTCCTACAAGCTTTGCTAGGGAAAGGATGTGTGCTTCTAAACATGCAATTCCATCAAACAAAGTCATCAACATGGGTAAATGAGCATTGAAGTTAGCCTTTAGTGCATTATGTTGTCCTTCAAGGTCTCTGAGTTTTCTTTCGAACTCATCAATACAAGCATTTTTCAATGCAATGTCCTCACATAGCATCTCCATCTGTAGAGTTGAAAGAATCTCAAGGCTCTCACATGTTACTATCAACTCAAGTATCTTCTCTTCAAATATTGCACTGTTAACTGTTGAGATTTGGATGTCCTTTAATAATGTTTCAATTTCACCTTCACATTTGTGAATCTCACTAGTTCCTTTTTGAAGTTCAGAGGACAGATGCTCTTCCCTTCTTCTAAGTACTGCAATGTCCTGATTTGACCTATCAAGTTCCTTGTGAAGCAGTATATTTATTTCTATAACATCTGTGGTCTCCTTGTCCTTAGAAGCAACATCAGATGATAAAGCTTTAATCTCTTTCTCTAACTTTTTACTTCTCGCCATTGCATTATCAAAATCCTTGTTAATACCATCAAGTTTTTGACATAATAATGCATTCTCTTGCCGAGCTTCAAACAAATCATTCTCTGTAGCTTCAAGTTGAAGATTAATTTCTTCATAGAAATTGCTCGCCATATTCATCTCAAAATCTTGAAGAAGGGCCAATTCCTTCAGATTCATGGCTTCCATTTCAAACTCCAGGATTCTTTGGTTTAATAATCTGATCTCCTTGTCTAGGCCATTTTTAACAGAAAGGTTACGGCACATATTATTACTTGACAATTTCAGATTTAATCCTCTCTCTACACTGAGAGCCTTGAAGAAAATAAAGAGGTGATCCAATGCCAAAAGCTCAGCTAAAATGTCACTGTTTTCTCCCTCCACTCTATCAAGTTTCTCCTTCAGTTCATAAGATCTCTTTGACAAAGTCTGATTCTCTTCAAGCAAACTGATATTTTCAACCTTCATTTCTTCATTCATCTTTAAAGCTTCATCCTTTTCTAGCCCAATTTGCTTTAAGAGGGTAGCAAAAACTGATATCTCAAGATGAAGACATTGGCTTTCCTCCCGAGAATTTGAAAGGGAACTCAGCATGGACTTGATTTCACCTTGAAGAGTTTGCACTAGCACTTCATCTTTGCTTCCATCAATTACTCTTCCACAGTCATTATTTATATTAAATTCCTCCAACATTACAAGAATCCCACTCCTTAGTTTATCATTACTTTCATTCTGGACAGTTTGGTCATGCTTGAGTTCAGAAAGTAGCCTATCCGAACATTTAGATGCTTCTAGAAGGTTCTGACATTCGACAGAGAGTATCAAATATTCTTCTTTCATGTCATTTAAGCATCTCTGCAAGATAAACATTTCAAGCAAAGCAGTCATGGTCTTCTGCTGTTCCATTTCAAAGTCAACTTCTTTAGCCTGATTTTCTTTTTGCAGGACACTGAGTTGGCTTTTGAGAGCGTGATACTGATGTTTTTCTAATTTCAATGAGCTTTCTAGCTCCGATACTTGATGAAATGCTGAGTCTTTCTCACTCTCTAGATTCAAGTTCCTCTCCTCCAGCTCTGAATACTTTACTTGTAGTGTTTCCAAACTGTGTGTGATAATTTCTACCTGGAAGCCAAAAACAAGAATTTTAAATAAGGTTGAGTTAACCCTAATCATGATGATAGTGCAAGCTTATAACAATAATGAAAACTGGAGAAAACATAAGATGAATTTATGCAAGCTGACTCCAAAATTCTCATTGTTGTTGGCCTAGTGGCTAGTACAATAAGTTACGACAAATACTGCAAGGTTGCAGGTTCTTTGTACAAGTGCATTACTTGGAGAAAAATAATAAAAGGATCAAAACTTATGTTAAAGATGGTACAAGAAAAAGAAAATTAAAGAACAATACATTACTGCCGAAATCAAAAGAAAAAGAAGGCAAAAGCGAGAGATACTATTTCAAAGAAAACCAGAAACAAGCATGAAGTACAACATTAAATATACAGATAGTTAAGAAACCCTATTAAGTTAATGAATATTTCAAAGAATGCTCACTGAATGAGGGATTTTGCAATGAGTAATCAACTTTAACTGTCAGATATTTCGAAAAAACAAAAGCATGGCTTGTCTTTTCAGTCTTTTCCTTCTACTTCAACATAAATATAGATATGATATGTGATATTAGATAAGGAAACAGTGCATTCCACATTCATGAAGCGAAGGAAACAGTGCATTCCACATTCATGACGTGCATGTGAGAGAGAAAACCCCATAAAACTATTTAGGGAGAGGAGATGATGAAACTATCACCTGTGAGAAAAAGAAATTATTTTCTTCTTTCAATTGTTTGTTCATCTCCAAGATTTCATGCTTCTCACTTGCCAAATCTAATAATTCCTTCGTTTGAATTTCTAGCTCATGATGAAGATGAGATTTTTCGAATCCAATTTGCTTCATGAGGGTAGCAAGAACCAATCCCTCGAGTTGAAGGCATTGATTTTCATCTTGACAATCTAAAAGAGAACTAAGCAAGTTCCTAACTTCATCCAGAATAATTTGCAAATATACTTCACCTGTACGGTCATCCATACTACCCTTTTTTATATCAATGTTAAGCGCATCTAATAACAAATGAATTTTCTCCCTTAGAATCTCGTTCTGACTAGATAATGAAGCTAGCTCTTTCTTTTTTGTGAGAACCTCATGCCCAAGTTCAGAAATCTTTTTCTCTCTGCATTTAAGTTCTTCTAGAAGATTCTGACATTCTCCAGATAGACTCAAGTTGTCATCTTTCATGTCACATAAACATCTGCGGAGTACAAAACTCTCAAGATGAGCTTTAATAATCTTTTCCTCCTCCTTTTCAAGATCCTCATGCTTAATCCTGATTTCTCGTTCTAGGAGATGGACTTGCTTTTGCAAAGAAGCCAGCTGACTCGAGAAGGATGAGATGAGAGCTTCATGTTCTTGCTTTTTGAGACTTAAGGAACTTTCAAGCTCCATGACTTGACAAACTGTTGAATTTTTCTCCCTCTCTAGATTAGAGTGCTGATCTTGGAGTGTCAGATACTTGCTCTCAAGGTTGACTACCTGAAACCGACAAGAAACCCTCTTTATAAAAGAAAAACAGACTGTTGGAAATGTTTGCAGCAGAAAATATAATGAACGTAGCCAATGAAAGAAGGTTCATCAATTTAAGAAAATTTATGAACCTAAATGTTAATTTCCCAAAAATTAATCATTCAATTTTCTGGTGAGTGAAATAGGGTGAGAGAGATTAAGCGTATGGTCTAAAATAATTCGGTATGTATAGCAAAAATGCCCTAACTACATAATTTTGGATCTGAAGTGATCCCACAGTCCTAGTTTATTGTATAAAAACTACAATGTCAAAGATGATTATGGTGCAGTAAAATTTGTCAAGAAGATAGATATACATATACAGTTGTGTGCAATCCTTAACGGGGCTAAGAGTATTTGGTTGATGTAGAGATTATTCCTTGACTTCCACCAACACCATAATAGATAGGGAACTACAGATGTAATATAGACATATCATATTTGTGGCGCTAAAGATTTTAAATCTTTAAATTATGAAATTAGTCCATCAAATCATTGAAATTTCTACTATGGCCCCCAATTCTTATATCTTGCTAGTGCTACTCTGGATTGGATGGATTAATTTGAAACAACTTGTATGAATTGGGAGACCTAATAGCAATTTTAATGATTTGACGAACTAATTTTGAAACAAACAAGAATTGGGGAACATAATAGCAATTTCAGATTGAGGGACTACTTTTAAATCATTAAAGATTTAAGGGATAAATATCAAAAAATCTCAATATTTAATTTTAGAATAACTTTCAAATAAAAGTACGATGAAGATGAGATTTATATCAATCCATTATGCTTCAGGAGGGTAGCTAGAACCTAAGTTGCATGGAAACGGGCACGGGTACTGGTACGGGTGTGCAGGTACGAGTAGGGGACACAGCAAAACTGTAAAATGTAGGGTACGGGGACACGGCTACATATATATATTGAATTAATAATGTACATGAGATAATATTTTCCCGCTTCATGTTTCATTAGAATTAAAATTCCGATCACATTCTTGAGTTTCTTTTATCATATTGATTATCGTGTCATTAGAATTAAAATTCCGATCACATTCTTGAGTTTCTTTTATCATATTGATTATCGTGAATTGTAAACTACTCATTTTTTTTCTTTTATCATATTGATTATCGTGAATTGTAAACTACTCATTTTTTTACTAGACATCTAAATGACCCGTTAACTATATAGTTGTGAACTTGGGTATGGACTGAAACGAACCCGGCCCATATCTCATTAGTTTCAAAAGACGGATGTGAAGTGTAAACTCTACGTCCAAGAAGTCTTTGACAAGTGTTTTAAATTTACACATATATAGTATAATTGAGTACATGTTGTAATAAATGCATGCATATATTCAAGAAGTGTCCATGAAGTTTGGATATGGGTAAGTGTCGGATACGGGTACGGTACGGGTACGGCTTCATTATAGAAGTACCCGGGTAACATAGGCTAGAACCAATACCTCAAGGTGAAGGCATTGATTTTCATCTCGAGCATTTGAAACAGAACTCAGCAAGTTCCGAACTTCATCCAGAATAATTTGCAAATGTACTTCCTCTGTACAGTTGTCCATGCTACCATTTTTCATATCAATGTTGAGTACATCGAATAACGAATGAATTATGCCCCTTAGGATCTCAACCCGACTTGATAACAAAGTTAGCTCTTTCTTTTGCATGAAGTCCTTGTCGATAAGTTCAGAAATCCTTTTCTCTCTGCATTTAAGTTCTTCTAGAAGATTCTGACATTCTCCAGATAGACTCAAGTTGCCATCTTTCATGTCACATAAACATCTGCGGAGGACAAAACTCTCAAGATGAGCTTTAATAATCTTTTCCTCCTCCTTTTCAAGATCCCCATGCTTAATCCTGATTTCTCTTTCTAGGAGATGGACTTGCTTTTGCAAAGAAGCCAGCTGACTCGAGAAGGATGAGATGAGAGCTTCATGTTCTTGCTTTTTGAGACTTAAGGAACTTTCAAGCTCCATGACTTGACAAACTGTTGAATTTTTCTCCCTCTCTAGATTAGAGTGCTGATCTTGGAGTGTCAGATACTTGCTCTCAAGGTTGACTACCTGAAACCGACAAGAATCCCTTTATAAAAGAAAAACAGACTGTTGGAAATGTTTGCAGCAGAAAATATAATGAATGTAGCCAGTGAAAGAAGGTTCGTCACTTTAAGAAAATTTATGAACCTAAATGTTAATTTCCCAAAATTTAATCATTCAATTTTCTGGTGAGTGAAATAGGGTGAGAGAGATTAAGCGTTTGGTCTAAAATAATTCGGTATGTATAGCAAAAATGCTCTAACTACAAAATTTTGGATCTGAAGTGATCCCACAGTCCTAGTTTACTGTTTGAAAACTACAATGTCAAAGATGATTCTGGTGCGGTAAAATTTGTCAAGAAGATAGATATACATATACAGTTGTGTGCAATCCTTAACGGGGCTAAGAGTATTTGGTTGATGTAGAGATTATTCCTCGCCTTCCACCAACACCATAATAGATAGCGAACTACAGATGTAATATGGACATATCATATTTGTGGAACACTAAAGATTTTAAATATTTAAAATTATGAAATTAGTCCATCAAATCATTGAAATTTCTATTATGTCCCCCAATTCTTATATCTTGCTAGTGCTACTCTGGATTGGATGGATTAATTTGAAACAACTTATATGAATTGGGAGACCTAATAGCAAGTTTAATGATTTGACGAACTAATTTTGAAACTAACAAGAATTGGGGAACATAATAGCAATTTCAGATTGAGGGACCAATTTTAAATTATTAAAGATTTAAGGGATAAATATCAAAAAATCCCAATATTTTATTGTAGAATTACTTTCAAATAAAAGTACGATGAAGATGAGATTTATATAAATCCAATATGCTTCAGGAGGGTAGCTAGAACCATTACCTCAAGGTGAAGGCATTGATTTTCATCTCGAGCATCTGAAACAGAACTCAGCAAGTTCCGAGCTTCATCCAGAATAATTTGCAAATGTACTTCCTCTATACAGTTGTCCATGCTACCATTTTTCATATCAATGTTGAGTACATCGAATAACGAATGAATTATGTCCCTTAGGATCTCAACCCGATTTGATAACAAAGTTAGCTCTTTCTTTTGCATGAAGTCCTCGTTGATAAGTTCAGATATCTTTTTCTCTCTGCATTTAAGTTCTTCTAGAAGATTCTGACATTCTCCAAATAGACTCAAGTTGTCATCTTTCATGTCACATAAACATCTGCACAAAACAAAATTCTCAAGATCAGACTTAATAGTCTTTTGCTGTTCCACTTCAAGGTCCTCATCCTTAATCTTGATTTCTTCTTCTAGGAGATGGACTTGCTTTCTCAAAGATGCCAGCTGACTCGAGAAGGATAAGACTAGAGCTTCATGCTCTTGGTCTTTAAGTCTTAAGGAACTTTCAAGTTCCATGACTAGACAAACTGTTGAATCCTTTTGCCTCTCTAGATTAGAGTGCTGATCTTGAAGTGTCAGATACTTGCTCTCAAGGTCGTCTACCTGATACCAACAAGAATACATCCCTTTATAAAAGAAAAAGGAGACTACTGGAGATGCTTGTAACAGAAAACATAATGAAAGTAAGAAATTAAAGAAGGTTCATCAATTTGGGAAAATTTATGTGCATACGTGTGTACACGCGCGCGCGTGCACGGGCATGCGTGTGTGGAGTGTGTGTTCGTCCATGTGTGCGCAGTGGCAGAGCCAGGAGTTTCGACAAGGTCCAAAAATATTTAAACACAATAACCTATTTTTTTATGATTTAACATCTAAACATCATTACACAACGAGACTTCAAAATCATAATTCAAGAATTGAGGGTGAAGAGAGGAACCAAGGGTTAAGGACAAAGAGAGGAAGTGAGTTGGTAAATTTATCTCGCAGTTCACAACTCACGTACATATTTCGGTATCAGTCCCTCAAATCTTTAATATTTTGATATTAGTTCTCCAAATGATTGAAACTTGAAATTAGTCCCCAACTCTTATAACTAATTTGAAATTATTCTCCTTAGCAGCTTTTTGATTTGAGGTGGAATATTCCTTTAGCTTTAACTAATTTGTGAGACTAATTTCAAGTGCCATCCAAGATTTCTGGGGACTAATTTCAAAATATAAAGATTTGAGGGACTACTTTCAAGACACTTAAAAGATTTGAGGGACTAATTTCAAAATATGAAGATTTGGGGACTAATTTTCAAACTTGAAAGATTTGGGGGAATGGTTTTCAAACTTGAAGTGATATGGGGGACTAATATCATATAGGGAGCTAGAGAGGAATGTAGAGAATTATTGTTGAGAAAGTTGAGTAAGCTTAGGCATTTTACTACCTATGAAAATACTATCAGTAAATTGGCCCTATTAACATGTTTTTGTTTTTAGTTCAAGGTGGGGCCAAGGACCCCTTGGCCCCAATGTGTTTCCGCCAGTGTGTGTGTATCTGTGTATGTGTGTGCTTGTGCATGTGTATTGTCTATTTGTGTGCATGTATGTGTGGTAAGAGTGTGCTAAGAGTGTGCTTAGGTTGTGAAGTATCTCTTTCCTATTCAATCTAAGTCCATAGATTGTTTCTTATGTCTATAAGCTTGCATCAAATATCAGCTTAAAGGACTAGCCTTTTTGCATTAGTTACGAATGACTGTACTAGACATATTCAAGAAGAGTCAAACAGTGTAAATTATTTGTTGATAACATAGTTTAGTTGATGAAGCTACGGAAGAGAGAATTTCTAAAGTAGACAAGTGGAAATATGGAGAGAAGCTCACTCTAAGGAATTAGAATTAGTCAAGCAAACAAAGTTAGTGTAATTTTTAGCAAAACTGTGAAAATGAAGCATATAACATGTATTACCATCAAGAAATGTCGATGAATAATCACTTTCTCTATTTAGGATTAGTCACTCATCAAATAGTGAAATTGAGAATGATGTGGTTAATCAAATCAAAAAGATGGTTAAACGGAAAAATTGGAGGCTGGTTCTTTTCGCTACCATAACTGCAGCAGGTGAATTTAGCGAATAACAGTATAAACTCGATCAAGGTTTTTATGCTGAAGCCAACTACTAATGAAGGAAAGCAACTGGTAGCGATCAACCTAAGCTTCAATAACATTGCTGGAGAGCTGCTAGCAGAGTTGGCTGCTTATCCATCACTTGCATCTTTGTCGGTGAGTAATAATAGAGGGCAGATTCCATGGCAGTACAGTAATAAAGGGAGGATGAGGAGGCTGTTCTTGGATTCGAATTTGTTGAACAGAGAGGTTCCGGATTTGTTGCTCAAGGGGAATTTGGCGGGAAGTTTTAGGGACAATTGCCTGGCCAAGTGCCTACGCTTTTGGACTATTATGTGAACATAGAATACATAAAAAAATTAAGGGAGATTGTACAGGACATCTATCAAACCAATAATACTTTATAGAATTGATATCAGTAATCAAGAAACATGTGAAAAGAACGTGTAGCAAAAGTATGATTGGTAGAATGAATATGTATACACTAAGAGATAGGATAATGAATGAGTGAGCGTCATAGGAAGTTAGATATTGTTTACATTGAGGATAAACAGTGAGAAAATCTATTGAGATAGTTTGGTCATATGCAACGGACACCACTAAGTGCACCAGCTAGGAGAAATAATAAGATAGTAATAACAGAGCAATGAAGACTAGAAGTAGGCCTAAGAGAACACGGTTAACTTAATAGATGAGTTATGATAGTGTCTAACTTGATGAGATCGTCCTTAACAGAAGAATATGATATATCTAGCCGATCAATAATTTTCAATAAATGTTTCACTATTCATTTATTTCTATACATTTGTGTGCTTATAAATGTGTATAGAGGATATTGGATATGAGTTTCACCTCATTTCATCAATAGGGTGGTGTGTTTTACCTGCTCTCCGATATGATTTACAGAAAGGACCACTAGTCTATCTCTTCGTATATCTCACACATGCACAATATTGCTAGCAGTAAAGAATTTGGCCAAATTCAAGCCAGATAACCTCACATAATTTTGGATCTGAAACCATGCTGCAATGCTACTTCATTGCGTGCAAACTACAATTTCAAAGATCATTCTGGTGCAATGAAATTCTCCAAGAAGCTGTGTGTATATACAATTCTGTGCAAACAGAAGTTATTGGTTATTGGTTGAAGTACAGATTATTCCTTGCCTTCCACCAACACCATAATAGGTAGGCAACCACTGATGTTATATGGATATATCACATGTGTCACGCTAAAGATTTAATTGTACAATTACTTCCTAATAAAAAGATGAAAGCCCTTTTTTTATTTATCTTTGTCGGAAAACTGCATTCTTTTCATTCACTGCCTAAGCACATTGTATTATGCAAATTGCAAAGTAAAGTCTTCTAGAAGCATATTATTCAGTAAACAAAAAAGAGATCTTTAGAGACAGCACATGTTTAAAACTACGCTGCGTTATCAATTTTCATGGATTTGAAAAGCTTAAAGTTTGTAGGACGGATGTATGCTCTACATGGATGAAGAATATCAACCATTACCTCAAGCTGAAGTTTTTTGTTTTCCTCTGCAGCATCTGAAACAGAGTTTAGCAATTTTTTAACTTCAGGCAAAATAAATTGCGCAAGCACTTCATCACTTAAACCATCTTGAGTATTATGCTTCACATCAATGCTAAATGCCTCCAATAACATATGGATGCCTTTATTAATGACATCATTGTGCTCAGACAATGATGTTATCTCTTTCTTTTGCATGAATTCCTTCCATTTGAGTTTGGAAATTTGACCCTCTGCATGTTTAGATGCTTCCAGAAGATTCTGGCATTCTCCAGAAAGAAATAAATTCTTATCATTCATTTCACATAAACATCTCTGCAAAATGAAAATATGAAAAAGAGAACTCATGACTTTTCGCTGTTCCATTTCGAAGTCCATTGCCTTAGCCTGTATTTCTTCCTTTCGGAGATGGATTTGGTTATTTAAAGAGGACACTTGACTTGACAATGATGAGATGCGAGTTTCATACTCTTGTTTTTCTAGTTGAAAGGAATTTTGGAGCTCCATAACTTGGTGAGCTCTAGAATCTTTCTCCTTTTCCAGGTGTTTATGCTGGTCTTGTAACTCAAAATACTTGTGCTCGAGGTTGCCTATCTGTAATTCAGAAGTTCACAATTCTCAAAAGAGGAATTCATAGACTTAAAATTAACATGCAAATTTGTCATGGAAAAGATGGGTATGAGGTGATAGCTCATTTTACTAAATGATCCTACCAAGAGATAAACTAGTGGTGAGGGCCACATGGCGCGTCACATAAAAAGGTGTGGAGCTCACCACTTCAACTTTTGGTAGATTATTTTGCTAATTGAGGAGGCAGCTCATGTCCAAGATCCCCATATATCAATAAATTTTCAGGATAGAGAATGAAAGTTACGTTGAAGTTATGCAAGACAAACCTAATGGATTGTCCATCCTTGGAGCATATATGTTTAACAACAAAGCAAAATATACTTACTCTTGAATGTACAGAAAATAACCCATCATCAATGCAACTTTGCACTTATAGATTATAGCATAAACAAGTGTTGCGCTACGTGACGTAATACGACTTAGATTTTTAATTTAGGTTTTGTTTTCCATAGAAACCAACTTTAGAATAGGGTAACTATGTAGAAATCACCTTTTATTTTCAATTTATGCATAAAGCACCTTTAAAGTGTTTGTTGTTGCAATCAGCCACGTAGGCCCACTTTTTAGTTAAATTTTTTTGATAATTGACCCCATCTACCGCAACTAAGGACTATATCTATGATATACTTGGTATTTGACAACTAATTATTAGAGGGAAAAAACTTGATGTAAAGGTGTTTTATAGAACCTGTAATTTCTTTTTATTAACAACTCAAAAATAAGCATTTGCAACTGCGATTGAAAAATTTTAATTCTGCTGAAAAACAACTGACTTCCTCGTTTGGAATTGTATGTTAAAATACAATTAAAATTTTTTGTTTTGGAACTGCTAGTAACTCTGAAGTTATGCAAAGCTCTTAATTCCATGTACCTTAAATGATTAAACTAATGGCAAATGTAGTAGAACTATTCAGAAATAACAAGGAGAAACCTGACATTACCTGAGAAACAAGAGTATTCTTTTCAGACAGAAGAGTACAGTTTTGATCGCAAAGGGATGCGGAGGATTGTTCCAAATCTTCAAATCTGGCTTTTAAACCCTTAAGTTCAACATTTGCATCTGATAAAGAGTTCTCCAAGATAAAATTTTTCACTGAAACCCTCTCCATATTTTGCGAAATAGACTCTAACTGAGATACCAACATACCCTTTTCAACAACATGTGTGGAGACTTCACCTAGGAGGGTTTCACAAGAAGCCTCCAGTGCTTTTGCCTTCTCTCTTAACCCTTCTAGTTCAACATTTGCATCTGATAAAGAGTTCTCTAAGACTACATTTTTATCTGAAACTACTTCAATTTGTTCGGTTAGACCTTGATGCTTTTGCTCCAAATCTTTGTTACCCTCCTTTAAGGAGCAAACTTCTTTTAGAAGAGCTCTGTTTTCCTCTAGATATGTCCCCAACTCATTTTCGAGTTTCCCTTTTGTTTCCTTCAGTAATTTAATTTCATCTTGCAATTCCTTTATCTTGATTCCAGACAGTATATTTTGTTCATGAAGGTTGCCAATTATCTTGTCCAGCTCGGTAATTTTCTCCTCAAGACCAACTTTACTCAGTTCCATCTCCTTCAACTTCTCACTAACATCCTCCTTCTCGAGAACCAAAAATTCTGCCTCTTCTTGAGAATGGGTATGTATTTGCTCCAAGGACATGAGGGCCACTTCAACTTGCATCCTTTTTTTATGCTCCACTTCTATTGAAGTATTGAGTTCTTCCAACTCCTTTCCTCTTTTTGCCAGTTCTCTTTGTTGTGTCTCCAGCTCCAATTGCAGAGATCGGTTAACCTTCTCCATTGCAAGACATTGTTCTTCAACACTGTTTAACTTCACTACCATAGCATCATTAACCTCACTGATTTCACATCTCGTGTTAGAGATATCATTTTCTAAGCTAGATATCCTTTCTATTGAAAGGTTGTACTGAAAAGCAGCAGCTTCCTTCATCGATTCTAATTTAGAGATCGTCTCTTCTAAAGTTCGAGCATGCTGTGATTCCGATGCCATCAAGCTCATGAGATTCTCATTCTTAGTTGTTAACTGAGAAACATCTTCTTGTAAATGTCTTATTTCGTTTTTGAGGTCTTCTATCTCTTCAACCCTTCCATTTTCATCTTTGAAACTTAGGACTTTCCTCACTTTACCTTCACCAGATGGAATCAGTTGCTTCAACCCTTTCTTTGTTGATATTGAATTGCTCTCTTCGGAAAAAGCCCCATTTCTTCTTCTACCATGGAAATGTGAGGATACACCCAATACATCCTTATTCAAGTCATCCGGGTCCAATGGTGCGCGCATTGGTGGGGCCATTTCAGGAGTGTGGGGCCCAATCTCGGCACCGGAAGAAGAAGGAGACTCATCGGACATTATTGGTGGGATTTGGTTGGGGAATGCTTCAGCCATAGTTCGATGAGCTTGGCGCAATGCACCAGTTGCATGATCGTATCTCTCAGCCAAGGCACGGTATGCTCGGTAGAACTCTTCGACCAATTTCATCAGCTCAGGGCGTTTCTTATAGTACATCTCTGCTCTTCTTGCAAAGGAATCGGCGTCTTCTTCTATGAGCTTGATCATTGCTTTGATATTTCTGTCCATATCTATATTGAAGAGCATATATATGGTAAATAATAAAAATAATAATATCTAATGATATCACATGTGCTTTCACACGCACACGCACACAGATATTTCTATACATATTTGTATTGAAGAGAACATACACATGGTAAAATGAGTGTAAATTTTAAAGATATCCACATACACACACACACACTCACCCGCACCAGCACGCACATGTGCACAAGCATGCGCGCATTCACTCACACATGCACATGTATAGCAAAGACTGGTGATTAGGTTTTTCCCCCTTGATAGTAGGAATATATGCTAAGTAAAACAAACCAAAACATGAGAGAATCTGGTCAACTAGTAAAAAACAATTAATCTGGCTCATAGTTATTAAAATTGAATTTCATGAGGTTCTTATTTTCAGTTAATTGAATACGGTGGAGAGTTCCCAGCCTCCATCCTACACAAAAAATAAAAATTAAAAATAAACCTTCCTCTAAAGATTTTACTAAGTTCCCATAAATGATTTAAACTGCACAGTGCTAGAATCTTCCATTTCTAACTAGAGATAATTACTTTTACCCTTTTGTTAAGTTTCATTTTCATTAGGGAGAATCAAAACTATTAATATATGCATTATCCCTCATTCTGTGCTGCTTAGATTATGACATCCACTTCATAAGAAACTCAAGGAATAGGTTTTTTTTGGTCTTAAGGGAATTGAAGATACATGGTTGGATTGACAAATAAGCGGATTAGAAAGGAAGCTAGCACTGTACAGATAGGGCCTCTTCATTTATTTAAAAAAAAAGAATCAAAATTGACAGATTGACCATATTCACATTAAGCATATCGATCAGTTCTACTTAACTCAAGAAACCACCTAAGAAGATAGCGACTATCCATTTATTCTAGAAAGGAGGCTATCATATTTATAACAATAAAATGGAACCATCAAAAATTTTCTGACTAAGGGAAAGACAAGAAGTCGGGGATGCCATGAAGTTAATTGATCCCATGAGTTCCTTATTGTTAAATTAAAAAAATGTGAGGAAAAATTTTCGTATAAGACATTGCATTTCACTCATGTGATGATACCTACAACATTTTCACAGAACATGTCATAGATAGTACTCTTCATTATCTTGTTACATGTTCTAGTCATCCTCTAAACTCGTTAAATCATATATTGACACTATACATTATACCTTCAAAAAAAGTTAATTTCTTGGATCAATACTTAAATTAGAATAGGATTCAAATAAACTGTATTGATGACATATAAGCTACAAAAAATAATAATAAATAGAGCAATAATAAATTTCACTTAAGTAGACTATAATTTCCAACAAGTTTCTGTGGTGAGAAAAAATTAGAGGGCAGTGATGACAATGATGAGCAACCTCCATCAGACAAATGATTTCTTAGGCAATCTTTGGTTCTAATGTAGCGTTAGTTGGCTTTATCAAATAATCTAAATACTCTACGAAAATCCATTTCCCTTATCCAACTTTTTCAAATTGTGCAAAATAATTAAGTTCAAAGTTCATATTCTCAATATACCTGTAAGATTTTCCTGAAGCCATTTGGAATTCTTCGGGCTAATATGACTATCCCACCACCAAGAATACATGCGTCTCGACTCTCCATGCAAAAATGTAGCCATGATTCCAAAAAGGCAAATCAATGCTATCTTCCTCGTTCTTGGACAGGACAAATCCTCATAGGAAAAATATCTTAAGTAATTAATCCACGCCAAAATTACTGCTTAGTAGATCCCAAAGCACACTCGTCAACTAAATATTTCTCTCTTGTTCCTACAAAAGCACGTTAAGGAAAGGGACCAAAAGAAATAAGTTCATTCACAGTTATAGTTTAATGAAAAAAAGAAATCCAAATGATAAGTAATTCAAAAGGAGATCACAAGTTCCTACTAGAGTATAAAGAAACACCTTCAAGAATTAAAATCAAAATCTACGAGGAGGAAAGTTCAGGTCTACATCTCAAGCAAGAGTGCAACTTATCAATTATCAAATCTAGAATTGAAGGAACACAATAATCAGATAAATTATAAAACCAATGAAAAAAGAACTAAAACAGTGAATTTACCACTGATAATATGAATTTTCTTCTAAATGTTCTGATACCTAACCACCAGATCCAAGAAAATTTTCTGTGCTTTACTGCAAAGAAAAAAAGCTTACCATTGCAAAAATATAACTGACGGTGACTACGGAGCTGAGTGATACTGATCTAGAGTCGGCTTAAGCACCAAAAAAATTCAAAAATTGCAGAATTCAAGATCCCTAATCAAATCAGCCAAACTAAACAAGTCAAAACAAACGGTTTATAATAAAAGGCTGGACTCAGTGCTTTGAACAAAAAACAAAAACCCACCAAAATCTTTATAGTCAAAGGTACTAAACTCACTTTCCAAAAATCTTCAGAAATGAATCAACTACTAGATACACATGAGATAGGAATTTCCCCAGAGGGGTCAACCATACATTTATCCCAAAACAATGATAAAACAGTAATAAATCTCCGATGCCCATTGAAGCTCAAAAAACTTTATTTTGAAATAAGAAAATCAACGCAAGAGGAGAGAAAATGAAATGGACATCAAAAGGTAAATTAGAGATTCAAAAGGACAGAATCTCTTGAAATAACAGAAATTCTTAAATACCCATTAAGCAAAAAAGTTCCAAATAACAAAATAAAACCACTAAAAACACAAAAGCATGAGATTTCATAAGTGGGTCTTCATCAAACATACAAAAAGGAGCAATCTTTATCATAGCAGAAGACAAATACCATTGAGAAAAAGAAATGTAGCGTGCGTTGCAGCTGCCAAAAGATCACCAGCTGCTTTTTTCATCCAATCTCACCCCATCTCTTTCTCTCACCCCGTTTGAAAACAAAGATATGAGAGACTCCGTTTCTCTCCCCTCCAATCTCTAGTTTTTCTGTTACGGAGAATACAGAGAAGAAAGCAAAGGTAGCAAGCAGCAGAGTGTAGCACAGCAGACAGAGAAAGAAGCCAAAGGAGGAAAATAATAATAATAATAATAATAATATTTGGAAACTGTTTGGAGTTTAATTTAAGATCTCAATTAAGGGAGGTGAATTTTGGAATTTTTAGGCTAAAATAGTGGGGCTGTTTACAAAATTCAAACCTATAAGCATGCACTGATTTAGCCATAAAACTAGTTAACTGTTTTTACTTTTTGTTTTTAATTATTTGTTTTTGTTTTGTTTTTTTTCGTTTTGTTGCCAGTCATTATTATAATTTCTTGGAATAAGAGGTCAATGTGTTGGCCCTTTTAACTTAGAAATAAAAAAGTAAACAAAAAAAAATGCCCTTTTACTTAGAAAATCTTAGGTTGTTTTTTCTTGGTTTCAGCATTTGGTGTTGGGTTGTGAGATGGTGATGATAGATTGATAGGTGGGGCGGCTTAGTCATGGACTCAGCGTGATTCAGAAATAGGTCTTTTGAAGGCTAAAATACCTCACTCTCAGATATTAATATAAATAGATGACATTACTAATTTTTCTTTTTCCTATCATTCAATATAACCAGGACCTTTTAATGAAATGCAAAATATATTTAAATGAATACAATTTATCCCTACCTGTCTCCATATTTGAATCGTTGCATAATAGTGTCATTCCAAATACCCCTAAATATCCTTTTTAATGTAAAGTTAGTATCTTTTCTTTTTTTTTTAATTGATGGTAGCTCTTTGATATGTGGTGAATTGGGTCATTTAAATTGATGGGTCTTAGGGTTATTTACTTTTAGGTCTGTCTCATTAAAAGTTAATGGGTTACTACTTAGTATTCAAAGGAGTTGAGGTGTACTTTGGTGTACGTTGCTTGATAAATTTACACATCATTGTTTAATTATATGAATAGTGTCACTAACTCCGCCCCTGCGTACTCATCCTACCAGAACCATCCACATGTGAGCGGATAGTTCTGACCCTCCAATGGAAATAGGAGAGAGTGCGGGGCAATTTTGACCCTCATTTGAAGGTCAAAATCACTTGGGCACATGTGGGCAATTCTGATAAGAAGTTAGCAAAAGTATTGTGAGCATGGAGTAGCGATACAAAACGGACATGGCTACTTGCATATACATTTATATTCATATCTGAATGGATGTACAAGAATGCTAAGTGTTTCTATTCTATAAAAATATAAATATAGATACAGATACGAATACTGATATATAAGTTGAAATATTATGATTTATATCCAAATATAAAATCAATCATTCAGTTACTTTTGATCATTACATTAATAGATTTTAGGTCAATTTTAACGGTACAAATATCTAATATTAATTTTAAATATGCCAAACATATTAATGGATGCTCATTTGACAAATTCATTATATTTAAACATGTCTTATACCAGATGACCTAGTTATTTCTCAATTTTATCTATTTTTCTCATATTAGTACCCATTTTTTCCCCTTATCTAATCTATATTCATAACATCATTTTGGTGAATATGGATATAGAATTTTATTTAACTAAGACATAAATTGTAAAACCCCTTGAATTTTAAACAATAGTGTGAATTATATTGATAAATGAGCTCTAATTATGATGAATATCATTTATAGATGAATTATTATGCTAACAATTGATTTGAGATCAATTAAGAGTATATATGAGAGTATACAAATGTTAAACATGCATAAAGAAGAAATCTAAAAAAAATGACTAGTTAAGAGCATATATATTTTACACACCGATACAGTTCGAATATGGAAAAACGCAAAATACAAAAGTTGTATGTATCTTCAATATCTTTCCAACGCATCTTAAATCACCTCATTCTGAGATTTTACGTGAAAGTTACAGTCAAATTTCCAAAGACTATCTTTCCAGTCTGACTAGGTTTCCTGTTTCGATTTTGGGCTGTTTAGATTCGGGTTTGTAGTTATATATATATATATATGTGTGTGTGTGTGTGTGTGTTTGCACACGAAAAACACATCTTCATCAGTATTCCAAATCCTAGTAGCCCCTCTTACTCTCTCTCAAACCCTAATCATAATTTGTGAGATTTGGGAAAGTTCTTGAGGCGTTTGCCGAGAGGAATACGGGATTTTGCGACTTTGGTGAAGAGGGGTCTTGCACACACGTATTCAGGAGCTCAACACGACCTTTGAGGCAAGAACATCTTTCTACAAACCTTTACTTGTAGTTAATTAATGATTTAAGATATTTAATTGATGAATCTCATGTTAAAGCTTAACCCGATGTTTTAAAATCTTAGTTTATGATGTTAATCTTTTAAACCAATGTGAAAATCTGTAGATTTAGTTGTTGTTTATATTAGTTGATGATCATGATCATTGGGGTTGATTTTATTTTTGTTTTAATTTATTAATCATGCTCAAATCATATTTAAACCCTAGTTTAACAGTTAATTGAGTTTTCTTATTAATTAAAGATGTATATACCCTAGGTTTGTGAAACTTAAGTGATGTGAACATGCTTAAATTATTTTATATTTGTTCAATGATTAGTTCTAATCATGGTTAGTTAATCATATTGATAATTTATGTTTTATTTGAGAAATTTTGGTAATTGAGATGCTAAACCCTAACTAGATTAATTCAATCATGTTGAGTTACTCCATGTTAAGCAAATATGAAAGTTTAAATCTTGTTATATGTCTCATGTTAATAAAATTAAGTTTTTGAATAAAGTTACAAAAATACAAACGCTAAAACTTGATTTGCGGAGATCTTCTCTAGCCGGTCGACCAACCAAGGCTAGTTGGTCGACCGACCAAGGCTAGCCGGTCGACCGGTGAGATCCTGTGAACGCACTTTGTGCACGTTTGCGTTCGGTCGACCGAGGCCCTAGGAGCGGTCGACTGACCTGTGTTCTCTTTTGCTTGAAGTGTTGTTTTCACACTTTTTGTTTTCGAACGTGGGGTTCGAGGTGCATGATGATACACGTACAATCATGAGTATACACGTATATGTAGGCGTCTAAAAATGTCTATAGGTATCCACACACGGCTGGAGATCAAGAGGGCGAAGTGCTGTCAAATTGGAGAGCAGAGCACGAATTTCAGAGGGTAAGCAAATCTTAGCGAAGTTCCTCAATAAAAAAAAGAGAGTTCGAGAGATCTGAGACTCGTCCTCCTATTCCTCTGGATTTAAGCTTGGTATTAATCTCGAGAAGAGTCGTAATCTCGTTTGGTCGAGATTACCGTTGTTGCGATTACTTCCTTCGTGAAGTAAGAGCTTTGATTATCAATCTGTCAACCGGATCTGATCCGCGGCGGTCCACAGATATCAACGTCACCGGCACAGGCAAAGTTCCCACGCAAATAATAGGCGATAAATATCTATTGTGTGTTATTTGAAGAAATTGTAATCTTTCATTTTTATTGTTGGAGGAGATCTTATAAAAAGATCAACTTTTTTTATTTGAGTTTATTGTAACGACTGAAGTTGTAATAGATTCGATGACAATAAAAATAATGATTTCTGGCCTAAACACGCTGGCGACCACAGTGGGAGCCAACAGCTTTGCTACCGAATCTGTCATACCGCAACTATGGATCCGGATCCCGGTTGACGAAGAGGTCAAGTACAAGTTCGACCAACTAAAATTCGAGGAGTATCTGTCATCGTCCTCCTCCAGATCCTCCGCCCATCACAAATGCAGGAAGATCAAGGCCCTTGTTGCTGCTATAATCACGTATTACAATGCCCCTCCGGCCTCCAACGAGGTCGGATCTGCAGATCTGGACTCCTCCTCAATCAAGGAGATAGCCGCTGGAGGCGCAACCACTTTATAGAAGAGAGCTCGCCAAAGGCAGCGCCAACGCTTCGTGCACCAATTCGCCAAGGATTTGGAGCCGATAAACGGGATCCGTTACGAGGCGGATCTAAAATTCAAGAAACGTCGAGCGCCTCAACAGCAAACAAATGGCCTCCCCTCCAAGCTAACAATGAATGAATGGGTCCGCGTCAAAAGAGTGTGTTCAACCCTCAAAGAACGGATCCAGAAACATCGTGCGTTACTTGCGCATGCACAGATTCTCGTGCAAGAAGCGTAAAAGTTGAAGCAGGAAGAGGTGGTCAAGAAGCCACCAAAACTTCACCAAGTCTAGAAGCCAAAGTCTAAAATGACGTCGAAAAAAAGTCGAACAACGCCCGGAACTTGCGAACCACCTCTAGCTGGCTCGGCCCAAACCAAGCCACCAAATGGTGGTTCGCACCTGAACTGAACAGGTTCGGTTAGTTTTGCACCCGGTTCACCTCCTGTAGTCCCATCTAAGCCTCCGACAGCCCATGTTCCTGTCCCGATGAATCTTGTACCTCCGGTAGAGCCCTACGATAGCGTGGACTTGTCCCGATTCAATATGAGGATGGCGGATCGCCTGAGTCCTTTGCACGAGGACCCAGGCAAAGTTCCGATCAAAGAACGCTTGGGTCCAGTGAATGAATCCCGAGCAACTCAACGAGCTGGGAGTCGCACACGCCCTCATAACAATATGAAGTCTTCTCATAAATGGAAAATTCCAGTAACCAACCACATCGGACTACGAATCGAAGTCCAAGAGCCCGTTGAGACCCCATGCTTACGAAAGCGTGGCTCAAAACGC